GCGGCGGCGCCCAGCAGGTCCCGGCGCGCCCAGGGTGGGGGCCGTGGACATCGCGGGCCGCGATGGTCCCGACCGCGAGGTCCTTCCTCCTGCCCCTCGACGAGTCCACGCTCATGGACACGCTCTCTGCTCTGAGCGTGGACCGCGCCATCCGCCGGTACTTCTGCGCGACGACAGCCAACTGGCCGCCGACGGACAAGGCGATTTTTCTCCGAGCTGCGCGTGCCACCGAAAACGTACAATAGCCCCGGGCTCGGGGAGAAACACTTTCGAAGCATTTTCAGGCCGCCAGCGTCGTGGCTGCCGACCCGCCGCGCGCCGACCGAGGGACTAGCTGGGTCCACTACGTCCACAGCGGCGGGCGGGCGCCCAAAAGAGCTGTCGCCGCGGTGCGCGCGGCGGGGCGCCCGCCCAACTGCAACCGCAAATGCGGCCTCCATGGCGCCACAGGCGTAATATGTGTGACGCATTCTCGGGCCCCCCATCATCGCAGTGGCCAGCGCCCAAGTCCCTGAAACGCAAACCTGTGCCCCCCGTGCAAGCCGCGCACCCGCTCACAGTGCTCGTGCACACCAGATTTTCTGCCCGCCCTCAACAGTTTAATTGAGCGCCCATGTGTTACTTGGGCCCCGCAAGCCCTCGAACACTCTTTGGGAACTTCTGCGAATGCGCGCGCTACGCTCCACAAATCGGCGTTCTATTTTTCTCTGGAACTCTCCCAGAATCTCTGGTTCCGATTTGTCCCGATCTTCCGCTCAACTGAATAGTTCCACTGGAGGACAGTCGGGTCCTCAGCCGTCTCGCCCACGACCAGCTTGACGATGGGCTGCGAGCCGTCGCTGACGACCCCTGCGTGTCGGTTGGCGCGCCAGCGCCCTTCCACTCCAGAGTTCCGTACAAGCTCGAGGAGGCGCTTCGTCTGGATCTCGCGTCGGATGGCTTGGGGGGACTTGTCCAGGCCGACGAAGATGGGGACCTGGGCAGCGCCCTCGATGGAGGCCGCAAAGAAGCGGCGCCAGGTGCCATCCTTCTTGAGCTTTTGGAAGGCCGAAACGACACGCCGTGCAGCCAAGCCCTCAGCGCAATGCATGCGGAGAGTAAAGCGGCGGCCAGGGGATGCACCTGCCAGAGACCAGCGCTGATCCTCGAGTTCGGTATCCGCCAGCCATGGGCGCACACTCGCAAGGATCGCCTCTGAGGTGACCGCCTCCTTGGCCGTGATGATGAAAACGGACTTGTCAGGCTCCCTGGTCCAGTCCGCCACGTCGCCGAGGTGCATGGTAGGGGCGGACGCCTCGCATGCCGAGACCACCTTTTCCAGCTTCGCCAGGGCCTCGCGCATCTCATGCTGGTCACGCTGGATGCGTGAGACACCACGGTCCAGATCCTGCAAGTGCTGGTCGATCTGCGCGTTCTTGGCGGCCTGGCGCTCGCCAGAGATGCGAAGGGCAGCAGTGGTGGATGCAGCGATGTTGGCAGACATCTTGTTGTTGGCGTCGGAGACGAAGTCGACGATGGAATCGCGCATAGCCCCCAGGATCCCCTCCAGCTCCGAGTGCAAGACAGGCCCATCTGCCGCCGCAGCAGGAGCCCCAGCAGGCCGAGGAGAGTCATGAGCGCGATGAGGATGAGCTCTGAGGCGGCCGCTGCTGCGCGGTGTCCGAGGGGTCGCTGGAGGAGTGGCTGCGATCGGCGTGGCCGTGCCCTGGCCATCGTCTCCGCGGGCACGCCAAGGGTCGGCGTTGGCGGACTGGAAGGGGTCGTCCGTGCCAGCACTGCGGCTGCGGTCATCGTCTTCACGAGGGCTGCTGCGCCGGCGCTGGCTAGCGCCAGAACCACCAGAAGCTTTGCCCGCTTTGCCAGGCCGCCGAGAGAGAGAAGCCGCTCCATCGGGCATCCCAGCTGCTGGGAGGAGGTGCGTGCAGAGCGAGAATGCGTGGGGTTGGGGCCCAACAGGGCAGCACGGGTCTCGATTGGTGAATGAATCTTGGGCCTCAAAGCGCGAACCCCCTCGCGCTCATCAGTCGCCGGCCGAAGCCGACTTGCGGTCGTCGGGCGGTTCATAGCCTTGAGCCAAAATGGCTACGGATGTGTATGTTTGATTGTATGCATGTATGTAGGTATGTGTTTGCACGTATGCATGTTTGATTGTATGTATGCATATGTATGTATGTATGTATGCATGCATGTATGTGAGGTTGCGAAGATGCATGTATGCATGCATGCATGCATGTATGAATGCATGTGAATATGTATGTGTATACATACACGTGTGTACATATGTATGTATGCCTGTGTGTACGCACATACATGCATATGTCGATGCATTATATCTGTAATGTGGTACATGTATGTACACACACGCGGAACATTGACTACGGGACAATTTTGCCACTCGCTTTTGTTGAGCGATTTGTCGTCGCGCGCTCCGTGCCATACTCGCCTCCCGTTCCGCGCTCCCCCATTCCTCTATTCGCGTTTCCTTCTCTCTTACTTGATTCCCGTCCTCGTCCCTGTTCCTGAGCTCCTGTCTGCCCCCTTTCCGTGCCCTTCTCCTCCTCCTGCTGCGGCCAAGTGGGAGGGGATATCGGCGTAGTGCAGAGGGGCGGAGAGGAACAGGAGGATTGCCGAGGACCTCGAAGGAGTGCGAAGCAATTCGAAGAGTTGAGAGACTTGCGGATGAGTGCGGAAGGTTCAGGAGGAGCGCGGAGTAGCGTGGATGCGTGGGAGCAGGACGAAGTAATTTAGAAAAATGGGGGAGTCACAAAGACTGGGGAGGAGCCGGGGGGATTCCGGCTGAGTGGGGAAAGATGGGAGGAACGCGGGGGACTGCAGAATAATGGGAGGAGCGTGGAAATGTTCTAAGGAGTTCTCGGAATTGGGACCGAATTGGGGGATGCGACGAGCAAGACGGAGTTGGGAGGACTCGGAAGGAATGGGGGAGCTGGGAGGAGCGCAGAAGACTAGGAGTGCAGAGGAGCAACGTGGAATGGGAGCACCGCGGGGGAGCTCTGATGCGCTAGCGGTGATGGGAGGAGGAAGAGTGCGGAGGAGCTCGGAGAAGTTGAATGAAGTTGAAAGGAGTTGACAGGATTCAGGAAGAGGGCGGTGAATGGGAGGAGCACAGAGGAATTCCGAGTGGTCGACAGCGTCTGCAGGACTCGGGAGGAGGGCGGAGGAGCGGGAAGGAGCTGCGACGAGCGAGCGGGCATGGCAAGACTCGGTAGGAGTGCAGAGGAGGGTGTGGGGCGCTGGGAGGAGCGCGGTTCATCTCAGAGGAGCTGCTTCTTGCGGACTCGAGTCCTTTGCCTGCCCGCTCTCCCCTCGTTCTTGCCCCTCCCTCCCGTTCTTCCCCCGCCGCCCCTCCTTGCCGTCCCACTCCGCCTCCCCCATCGCCCCCTCACCACCGCTGTCGCTCCACCTTCGCCCTCGCGCTCGTCCTGGCCCCCTTCCCTCCCCCCTCCCTTTCCCTGCCGTGCCGTCCTTTGGAGATCCCGGGCTTGAGTGGCGGCGTGCCCGGGAGCCCTGTGAGGTTCGCCACTTGGACTATCCACGCTCATCGTCGTGGACTCGCCCTGAGGGCACCGCAGACCGCGGCGCCTGTGTGCACCAGAGCGCCCTTCGAGCACCCAAAAGCAAGAGTGCGCTCGCGCCCACCAGCGGCTGTGAGCCTTGTGGCGACTGCGAGGACAAACCCATCGGACCAGGTCAACCAGGGTCCAAAATGGCAATGGTCAGTGTCAGTTCCCCGCTCTCTTTGAGACCATGGCGCCCAGTGAACTGCTGTGCCAGGCAATGGTCTGATTTGTGTTGTGTTGCCTCGTTTCTCGTTGCGTTGCACCTGCGCTCGTACGCCCCTGGCGAAGAGAGCGATTATGTGAAAGGGGAGGGAGGTTGGAGGAGGGAGGGGGGAGGAGTGGTGGGGAACGGGGGAGCAGCGAGAAGAGGGAAGGAGGGCGATAGGCCACGCCTGTCGCGCGGACGATGACGCACGTCGCGGACATGGGCGTTGCCCACAACACGAGCCCGACGTCCTACGTCTTGGCCGGTGGTGCGCAGTGAGACTAGCAGCAGAAATGCTAGCGGCAGTCGACCCGAGAGAAGACCGCAGTGTCAATACGTTGACTTTAGGACTAAAACCATGACGACGAAATGTAGTAGCCGAAGCGGTGCTGATACCGTTATGTGTATGCTGTGTACCGATGCGGCCACTATCGCTTGCCAATGGAAGCTCGATGCTTAGACCCTGCCCAACCATTCGAGAGACCCCACACAACCGCTCATGGGGCTTGGCGCTAACAGCGTTTGAAACGCGTGACGGGCCACGCGTCTTCACTCATAAACAACCGATGAATGTGATCACAATGAGCCCGGCGCGACCCCAATTATGGGAAAGCCTATTACATGGGCGCATCGCTGGGCGCATCGCTTGGCATTGGTCGGCATCGCTTGGCATCGCTTGGCAGCGCTTGGCATTGCTTGGCATGGTTTGGCATTGGGGACATTGCTTGGCATTGCCTGGCAGCCCGAGGATCCTCGGAGGAACCCGAGGAAGAACCCGAGGAACCGAGGAACCAGAGGAACCCGAGGAACCGGGGAACCCGAGGAAACCGAGGAACCCGAGGAACCTCTGAGGAACGGGCAAAGCGGCGTCCCGAGACACCAACCTTTGACCAAGTAGGAACCCCTTAGGCACGCGTCGTTGGGGAAGTGACAGCCCTTTTGACAAACCCACTTTGGGAATGACGAGGCACAGCGGGCGGGGAACCCGAGGAAGCCGGGAACACCGGGACACCTCCGGGCAACGCAGCAACAGGAGGCACATGGGGGCGGGGAACCCGGGGAATCTCCGGGGAAGGGGCACAGAGTCCCGAGACACTGGGGCGGGGAACCCTGGTAACCCGGAGAACTTGGGGAACCCGGGGGATCTCCGGGGAACTGGCAAAGCAGGGTCCCGAGACACCCCCATCTTCATCAAGCAAGAACCCACTATAGGCAACCCTGACTGGGGAATGTGTGTGTGTCTTTCGTGAGCCTGTGATCCTTCGAACACGGGCCTGTGATGTCTGTGCTCCGCTACTACCAGGGAGCGGCTCTTGGCCGGGCGGGCGCCAGCGGACGCACGGCCGGGGGCCGCGAGCGTGCGCCAGAGAGCGCCCGAGGCGGGCCTGCCTGCAGAGGGCTCGGACGTCCCCCCCCGCAGCCCTCGGAGCAGCTTCCCGGGCCTTCCCCGAAGAGGCAGACCAACCGTGCACGGAGGCTTGCGGGCAGGGCTCACTGCGCAGGGCCGGCGTGTGCCGAGGCAATTGGGCGTGGCTTAGTGGGGGGTCATAAAGAGGGGGGTCAGAAACGGTCCCCTTTCGTGCCCCTTTCGGGCCCCTCCAGAGCCCCAGGGGGCTCGTTTAGGTACCGTTTGGGTACCTTTTCGAACCACCCTCGCCACCCCCCCATTTATGACCCCCCCATTACGCGGCGCCCAAGGCAAGCGGCGAGAACCCCCCCCCGGCTCGGCAACGCTCCTGTGTGAGGGCTTCCTCCCGGGCACCAGCGGCACGCGCCCGCCCCGGGAGGCCGCTTCACAGCCCAGACCTCGGCGCGCTGCCCCAGTTCTGCCGCTTTTTGACAAGGGGCCGACCGTCCCGGCATTCCGATAGGCCTACCGCGTCATGTCCCGAGAACCCAAACAGGTTCGAATAACAAAAACAAGGTTCTTAGACCATAAGCCCGATGTGCTAGAACAAGGCCGTCCCGGCCAGAGGTGTTCCAAGAAGATTTCGTGCAAGCCACAACGTGTTCTTGGAAGATGCTTCGGTGGGCCCATAGGCAAGCCAGGACGCTTGGCCACTGGTTGAAACATTGGAGAGGGGGGAGGGGGGCGGGGCGTTTCTGGACCCCCTTGTTGTAAAAAAAACAGCTCGCGACGGATCAGTGGCCCCGGAGAGGGGGAGGCTCCTTGGGGTCTCGTGAGGGGGCCTCTCTGGGGCCTCGGGGGACCACGTCTGGAACAATCGAGCTGGCAGAAGTCTTCGAGCGGGGCAGCAGGTAAGGGCCAACGGGAGCCGAGAACAGCAAGCTCCGGAGGTGAGGGGTCGAAGGTTGTAACTGCGCGTGCACCAGGCGACGAAGAAATGCTCTGTCTGCAAGCGCTGCGCGTAACCAGAGGAGGGCCGAATCGCAGCGCGCAGCAGAGGAGCGCCTCGCCAGCAAGGAACGCGGGCCAGCGCAGCGATACCGTAGCAGCAGCTCGGTTGGAGCGGGTCGAAGTGAAAAGAACATCATACATAGAAGAAGAAGAAGCAACTGCATGAACATAAGCTTTTGCCGCTCCGCGCGGATTTCTTGGATCCGCGCTTGACCCCCTCGCTGCGCAGATCCAAGAAATCCGCGCGGAGCGCCAAAAGTTTATGTTTGTGCCGTTTCTTCTCGTTCGAAGTTAGTTGGAGCGGGTCGAAAGCAAGATAACAACATACACCCGCGGCCATCGCTTCGGATGGGCAGGGCTGGCGCCCGACGTGTTCACTTCGAATCCGCCACTCGTGCCGCAAGGCACTGAGTTTGGAGCGCCCCCAGGCCCCTCCGAATTCGCCGTACCGTCGGACCTGCAGCCCTCATGAGCATGAGACCCTCCGCCGGCCAACACACACACACACAGAACATCCAAGGGTACCCTCCCCAGGATGCAAAAGAAAAATCCAACAAATACGAAGAACATTATATGCCACCCTCCCCGAACCGACCTCGGTCTTATACCCCTGGCCGACTGTATTCGAAAATGCCCATGCTCTTGAAAGCTCTATTGCCGGCCCGTGTCATAAGGATACGCGAGAAGGATGCAAGGGCCTTGGACGCTCATTTCGAAGCTTTTTGAGCGGGGTGCGGCCAACGAAAGTGGCCAAGGATGCAGTGATGGGGGCAGGGATGCAAGGGTACCCTTGGTTAAGGTTGCCCTCCTCCTCCTCCTCCTCTTCCTCCTCCTCTTCCTCGCCATCCTCCTCCTCCTCCTCGTTTTTGCCGAGGACGTCTACCATCTCATTGTTTCAAGGACGTCTCGAGCGAGAGCCTCATTGTTAAGATTTCGACGAGTTCGCATAATCCCTGGAGATCTCTATAAAGGTCGACTGTAGGCTCTGGAATGCGCGGGCACGCGGTCGCTGCAGGGCCCCCCGCAGGGCGAGGCCAAAGGGGGCGCGGTCGGGAACGTCGCCGTCTCGGAGAGTCTCGGAGCCGGCCCCAAAGGCCAAAATGATGGAGACGCGTCTGAGTTTTGCACCTAGAGCGTCCAAGAATGCCCAGGAGGGCCTCCAGACTCTCCCACAAGAGGGCCCCGGAGGCCCTCGGGAGGGATCACAGAGGGGGGGCCCGAGCTGCCAGCCGGAGCACCCCACACCAAGAGAGCCCCCGAGACTGCCAGCAGGCGCCCAACGAGCCTCCAAAGGCCCCCAGAGGCCCCCGAGAGGCCCAGTGCATCCAAGAGGCCTCTTGTCCACGACGCAGGCACAGTGGCGGTTTGGGCCGCAAGCCACTCGATACTCGCAATTCCTAAACTAGCCGCTAATGTGCTCTACAAGTCTTATGTGCTCTACCAAGCGCGCCGGGCCGAATGTCCTCCCCAAATCGTGCGACCAACGGGGCGCCAGTGTGTTGGAGGCAACTGGAAACTGCGAGTGCGTGTCATACCAACTCAGATCATGGTCTGGTATCGGTAAGTCTTCTGGCTACCGATTATCTGGGCCTTCAGCGCCGCGTTCCACTTCTGCTTCCCAGTCACAAGGTCCTGCTGCTCCCGAGGGCTTACGGTGGTCGAGGAGTCGGACGGCTGCTTCGGCTGCGCCAGGGGGGCCTGCGGAGGCGAGAACCGACGGAGCAGCAGGGACGAGCAGACCACGAAGAGCGAGGAGCACGCCATGCCGATGCCCGCGACGAGGGGCGGTATGTGCAGCGTGGGGTAGAACAGGCCCGCGGCCACGGGCAGGCAGAGGAAGTTGAAGCAGAAGGCCCAGAAGAAGTTGAGCAGGATGGTCCTGAAGGTGGCCCTGCTGAGGGCCAGGAACGTCACGCAGTCCCCCAGCTCCGAGCGAACGAGCGCCACGTCTGCGGCTTCCACTGCTATGTGCGCACCCACGCCGAGGGCCACGCCGACGTCCGCCTGCGCCAGGGCTGGGGAGTCGTTCATGCCGTCGCCGATGAAGCACACCCTGCGAGGCCTCTCGCCTCGCCTCCTTGGCCTCTGCAGCTTCGCGACGCACTCGCTCTTGGTCGTCGGCAGCGCCTCGGCCATCACGTGCCTGATCCCCACCTGGGCCGCGATGCACTGGGCGGTGGCAGTGTTGTCGCCAGTGCACATCCAGACCTCCGCTCCGAGCGTCCTCTCCATGTAGCTGACCACCCAAGAGGCCTCCTCGCGGACCGGGTCCTGCAGGGCCACTGCGCCCAGCGGCACGCCGTCGACGTGCAACAGGACGACTATGTTGCCTTGCTGCTGCATGCCTTCCATCCACTGCAGGAGCTCCTGATTGGTTTGCGACGCCTGCTCTGGCATGGACTCCATGAAGTACGTCAGATTCCCGACCCTGGCGGTGACGCCGCCCAGCTGACTCAGCGTGCACCGCACGCCCCTGCCAGCGGTCACCTCGAAGTCCTGCGGTGCTGCGAGGGGCGGCAGGCCGGGGACCTCCTGCGCGGCGGTCAGCACGCACCTGGCGATGGGATGGTCGCTGGCACTTTCGAGGCTGCCCAGGATCCACCAGAAGCAGTCTTCCAGGCCATTCGAACTGCACACGTCCTCCGCGCCGATCAGCTGTACGGTCGGCCCGGAGCTGCTGGTCGCTGGAGCGCTCCGCCGTTTGGGCGCTCCCTCCGCCGAGCCGAGCAGCGCCTCCCAGGCCTGCTCCAGCGTCGCGAAGGCCTCGGCGCAGCAAGCGGCGGCCCTGACACTCGGCTGGCCCTTGGTGATGGTTCCCGTCTTGTCCAGGACCACGACGTCCAGTCGAGCGGACACCTCCAGGGCCTCCGCGCTCTTCACCAGGCAGCCGCGCTTCGCTGCGAGACCCGTCGCGACCATCACCGCCATTGGGGTTGCCAAGCCCATCGCACACGGGCAGGCAATCATCAGAACGGCGATCCCGAATTTCATAGCGAACAGCAGCTGAAGTGAGCGTACCGCCCGGGAGTCCGCTTCCATGCCTCCATGGCCCATGGTGTCGAGCATCGGGGGGCTCACTCTCCCCGAGAACACGAGCGCGCTCCACACTGCGAACGTCAGAATAGCAAGACTGATCACGAACGGTACGAACACCCGCGCAATGGAGTCTGCAACGCGCTGCACGTTTGCCTTGCTGGCCTGAGCGTCCTGGACAAGCTTCACCATTTGGCCTATGGTGGTGTCGCCTCCCACATTCGTGACGCGCATGAGGCAGCCACCAGACAAGCAGAGCGTCCCTCCGAAGAGCATGTCTCCGTCTTGCTTCGAGACAGGCCTACTCTCCCCAGTCAACATCGCCTCGTCCACATGCACACCTGACTGTGAACACATGGTGCCGTCAACCGGGATGCGGCCGCCTGCATAGATGCGAAGCACGTCGCCAAGCTCCACGAGCTCAACTGGCTGGACAGACTCACCGCTGTCCTCGCAGAGGAGCGCAGTGGCCGGCAGGTTCGAGGGAATCCGCAACCAGTGCCCTCGGCACGGTGGGTCGTGTCATGATGACCGTGAGCTGTGTCTCTGTACTTTTTCCAAGGGGGGTGAGCCCACATTCGGCGCATGCGATTGTCAGAGCCCGCCGCCCCCCCTCCCATACAAACGTTCCGCGCCCTGGCGCTCCCCTGGCGCCGAGGCATTGCCAAGATTGCCCGAACACCGCCGCAGTATTGCCCTGAACCAGCCGGCGCAAGACGGCGGCCCCGTGGGCTTCAGCATGTCCCCAAGGTGTCCCCAGACGCCTCATGAAGCGGCACGAGATGCGCCCAAGGAACCCCCCAGCAAGGCCCCGGGAGGCCGAACGCGTGAAAGGATCCTGCAAGAGCCTGCTCTGGACTACCCTGCGCCGCCGACACACCCATGACGTAGTTCGTAATGGGGGAAGACTGGCACAGCAATGCATGCCGAGAGTGACTGGGCGTGCTCGGAGAACGTTTCCTGGTGACAGCGCGTGATGTGTACCAGGAGTGTGCGGTTAGGTTCGGAGTGAGCTCCTTGGCAACCACATGCTGGTAATGCGATGTGCGCCGGGGGCAATCTGGCGCGCTCTGGGTGAGCCTCCTGGCAACCACGCTGGCAACGCAACATGCGCCAGGAACGAGCAGGTGCGCTTGCAGCGCGCTTCCCGGCAGACACGCTGGCAGCGCGATGTGCGGAGCCAGCGGGTGCAGTCAGAGAGCGCTTCCTGGATTGGTGACCTCGAGGTTGTCTTGTCGTTTGCTGCCTCTGAGGCTTGTCGGCCTAAGATCGCCTCAGTCAGGACGCCCCCGAGGGCGCACACGCATGGGCCTCCAAGGCGGCCCACAGAGAGCAAGCACCTCGTCAAAGCCCGACCAGACGGTCCCAGAGCCACCGCGCCGAAGACAGCCCAGGACACCCAACATGCCCAACAGGGATCAACAAGTCTGGCAGAAGCCCTCAGTATCAGGTCGGGCATGTCCCCCCACAGGCGGATTTGGGACGAAACAGCAAACAGACCCCCGAAAATACGCCCCAACTGCTCAAACACAGTAAAGAGAAATCGTCCCGCGACTATTTTTTGACTATCTTCGAATGCTCCTCCTGTAGAGGCACAGGCACGACTTGACCCCAGCACCCCCCTGACGTGGGGCCCCGAAAACGCCCCCAGGTGAAAAATGCTTGAGGCCCCCAAGCCACCCGCACCAGAGGACAAAACAAGCCAGCAAGCATGCGGCACCACGGGCACGCCAGGCCACAACATCATGACGACGCTCCCCAAACCACCCCAAGATGGCTCTGCCGAGCCGGTTCGGGAGACCTCGGCAACCAGAACGATCCTGCGTGCATGTCGGTGATTCGATGGCACAGCGGCGGGAATTGCCGCATGCACCTGTATATCGGTCAGCGCCTCCATCGCCGTGAGCTTCGCGCGGGACTCGATGCTCTTGCCGAGGAGCACCACGGCTATCAGCACGGGGCCCATCGCGAGAAAGTGGCCCGTGGCGTGCCCGAGCAGGTGGACGCTGGGAAGGTCGGGCATGGTGACGCAGAAAAGGACGAGGCCGATGGAATAGAAGTACGCGGTGCCGCTCGCGACACTCACAAGCACGTCCATGTTGGGAGACCCCCGCTTCACCGCCGCGAAGGCGGCAGCGTGAAAGCGGCGCCCAGGGATGAACTGCACTGGGGTGGCGAGCGTGAGGACAACGAGCGTCAGCACCGTAAGCCCTGGGTGCAGCTGGGTCGCGAGCAGGGCCTCGAGGGCGTGGCCGCTCCCCAGGCTGGGGAGCAGGATGACCAGGAAGAAGATCACAGCCGCGGGGGGCGCCGCCCGGAGCAGATCCCGCTGGAGGTCGCGGATGTGCTGCACATGGCTCTGGCGCTGCTCGTCAGAGCTGCTCGCGCTCGTCCACTCCACCTCTGGGTTAACCGAAAGGTACCTCTACAACTGCTCCCTGGACCTCCCCCCAGGGTGCGCTCTGGCCGGCATCTCGAGGTGAATCCGGCGGGGCCGCCCCCAAGGCCTCGAAAAGGCAAAAATGATGTAAGGGTCACGGCATCGGTGGAGGAGGAGGAGCGGGAGGAGGAGGAGGAGGAGGAGGAGGAGGAGGAGGAGGAGGAGGAGGAGCAGGAGGGGAGGAGGAGGAGGAGGAGGAGGAGGAGGAGGAGGAGGAGGGAGGAGGAGGAGGAGGAGGAGGAGAGGAGAGAGAGAAGGGAGGAGGAGGAGGAGCAGGAGGAGGAAGAGGAGGAGGAGGAAAGCAGGAGGAGGAGGAGAGAGGAGGAGGAGGAGGGGAGGAGGGGAGGAGGAGGAGGAGGAGGAGGGAAGGAGGAGGAGGAGGAGGAGGAGGAGGAGAGGAGGAGGAGGAGGGGAGGAGGAGCGGGAGGAGGAGGAGAGGAGCCAGGAGGAGGAGGAGGAGGAGGGAGGAGGAGGAGGAGGAGGAGGAGGGGGAGGAGGAGGTGGGGGAGGAGGAGAAGAAGAAGTAGGAGGCGGAGGAGGAGGAGGAGGAGGAGGAGGAGGAGGAGGAGGAGGAGGAGGAGGCCAGGAGGAGGAGGAGCCCAGGAGGAGGAGAAGAAGCAGGAGGAGGAGGAGGAGGAGGCGAAGGTGTCGGTACCTTTTCCTTCGCTGGACCTCGGCCTCGGGGGCCACCGCCCGCCTCAGCTGTGCCAGCAGCTGCCGGGCGCCCGCGGCGTGCGGGTCGTAGGTGATGCGCTGCTGGCCCTCGGAGAGCGTCCTGCAGCCGAGCACGCCCGGGAGCTGCCGGGCTGCCGCCTCCACCTGGGGGGGAGCGATCCAACACGGGTCTTGCGCGAGATGGCGTGGCGACCTTCCGCAGCGGCTTACGCGGGCCGCCGGCGCGGCACGCCACGTTGGAGACGAGGGCGCTGACACGCGACCTGACGCGGGCAGCCTACGCGCCAAGGTCAGCGAAGCCGATCCCGTTGATTTGCGTCGCTCGTCTGAGGGGCAAAGCTCGGGGGAGGGGACGGCTAGGGGGGGAAGCATTGACCTGGCATCGGCGATACATCGCCAACAGATCGGCGATGGCCCCCCCGATAGCGACGCCGCACCTTGCTGCGCGGTTGGGGAAACAGACCCCTATGGGCGATGAGTGGGCGATCGGGGCTCGCTGCGTCCCCCACTGGGCCGATCACCCCCTGATGTCGCCCCTGTCCACCGTCCCGCTGGGGCAGGTTGCCTTGACGTGAAGGGTCGCCTGCCCGCTCAGCATTTCGGCTGTGCCTGTGCAGACGACCTCCGCGTCGAAGCCGACGCACTCGATCTCCTCGCATAGGACCTCCGGCGACTGCCTCGACGGGCAGCAGACCTGGAATAACAGCAACAAGCTACATAAGCATACGCGCTCGGAGGTCCGCGCTGATTTCTTTGCTCGGAGCTGGTAGCCGCGCCGAAGGCGCCGCCAGAGGGGTAGGGAACTCACGTATATGAATACGTTCCCCCAATCCGCGAGACAAACCGCGTGATACGAAGTTTCGCGCAATGCGCACTCTCGAAACCAACGTGGATTCATGTGCGTGGACGTCGTTCCTCAAGGGAGGGGGTCCAGCGCCGATCCGACAAATCCGCGCGGACCTCCCACATACCACGTTTGCCTGGTATTGAGTTGGGACCGACCGTCCCGATATTCCCATTGGCCTACCACGACATGGTCGTAGAACCCAAACATGTTCTAATAACGAAAGCAGTTCTCTTAGAACATGCACCGGCGTGTTCAACAGGACAATCCCAGCCAGAACTGTTCTGAGAACATTTCGTGGAAACCACAACAAAAAGGTTCGTAGAACAGTGTGAGGTAGGCCTACAGGCGAGCCAGGACCTTAGTGGGACCTGGAAACGACAAAGCCGATTTTTTACCGGTTCCGTTCTGCCGTTTTTTCGGTGGTTCCGACGCTGTTTTTTTACCGGTTCCGTCGCCGTTTTTTGACCGGTTCCGGCTCCGGTTCCAATCCTGGAGCCGTTTTTTTGCCGTTTCCGGTCGCCATTTTTTTTTCAAGGGACACTTTTTGGGGAAACGGTAAAAAGACGGCCCTGCCGTTTCCAGGGCCCACAAAGGCCAGGACGCTTCGCCACTGCTTGAGTACGTTTCTTCCTCCGAAAGACCACGTAGGCGCGGCTCAGCACGAGGCTCACCGTCGCCCGGCTCACGCCCGGCAGGCCCCGCAGGAGCCTCTCCACCGTGCCGGAGCAGGCGCTGCAGGTCATGCCGGAGACCTTGAGCTCGACGGAGATGGCAGAAGGAGAACACAACTCCGTAAGCATAAACTTTTCGCGCTCCGCGCGGAGCTCTGGGATCTGCGCTGGACCCTTCTCCCTGGCGCGCTCCGCGCGCCCGGGGCGGCGCCGGAGGCGCCGCCGGGGGGGGCCAAGCGCGGATCCAGGAAATCCGCGCGGAGCGCGAAAAGTTTATGTTTATGGCGTGTTTTCGTCTTCGGGATGGTGGCGTCCGGGGGCGCCGCGCCAGTCGGTGCAGGGGCGGGGACGTCCTCCTCGCCTTCCAGGACGGCGTCGAAGCCTACGCACTCGACAGTGTCCAGGAGCTGGCCTGCCTGCACCACGCTGGCGTCGAACTTCACGCGCGCCATGCCGGTGACGCACGACACTGTCGCCTCGCGCACGCCGGCCGCGCCCGCCAGGGACCGCTCCACAGTGGAGGAGCAGGCGCCGCAGGTCATCCCCCCGACCCGTATCGTCGCTGTGCGCAGGCGCTCTGGGGGCCCCGTGCCGGCGGCCATCGCGGGTGACTGGCAGGCGGCTTTTTGCCGAGTGCGCCTGCCGCGCGAGGAGGCCCAGGAGTCCGAAGGTCTGCTGCTGCTCAGTCCACAACGTTCTTCCCCCGACACCGAAGCACAGCGTCGGCTGCCTGGGGAGCCGCCCGCGCCTAGTTGGGGCGGCGGGCCTGGGCCGGGCTGGCTGCGGAGGAGGAGGAGGAGGAGTAAGAGGAGTAAGAAGAGTAAAAGGAGGAGGAGGAGGAGGAGAAGGAGGAGGAAGAGGAGGAGGAGAAGGAAAAGGAAAAGAGGGAGGAGGAGGTGGAGGAGGAGGTGGAGGAGGAGGAGGAGGAAAAGAGGGAGGAGGAGGAGGTTCAGGGTTCCCCGAGAAGGGGGAGAGAAGGTCCCGAGAGGCCACCGTGCCAGCCGCACACCCACGCCTTCGCGCGGCTACCCTAGCTCGGACTAGGAGGAAGAGGAGGCGGAGGAGGAGGAGGAGGAGGAGGAGGAGGAGGAGGAGGAGGAAGAGGAGGCGGAAGAGGAGGAGGAGGAGGAGGAGGAGGAGGAAGAGGAGGACACCGCGCCTCGCAGCGCGCGCGGCCCTGAGAGCTCACGGCGCCTGGCCAACGTGCCGCTCTTGCAGCCGGAGGGCCAACCGCACTGGCTCCACGAGAAGCGCGGCCTCGCCTCCAGAGAGAACGCCCACCTCCCAACGGCGCAGTTCTTGTAGAATATGCCGGCAGCGTGCGAAGAGGGCGACCGCGAATGCTAGCTGCCGAGGTTGCTCGGCGTCCCCGCTCAGCATCCCCAGCCGCCGCCGCACGGAGCTGGGCAGCGGTGCTTGCAGAACTCGCTCGGCCATCCGCCGCAGGCGTATGCGTTCCCTCATGCAGTGCGTGATGTTGTCACTCGCTTTGCCTGGGCAGCCAAGCGCGCAAGTCGTGCACCGCTGCGTGCGTGCGCCTGTCGGCCATGCCCCAACCCACGTTCGCAGCGCTGTGGTCGCCCACGACGGCGGCTGGGAGCGCATCCGCGCGCCCAATCGTGCCCAGTGGATATCCTCCTTCCGGAAGCTCGGGAGGAAGCACTTTCGCACGTGCGTCACTATGATGAGTGTGACCGACGACGTGAGCAGCTGCTCCTGGATGGCCCTGCACAGCGCACCTTTCGTCCGCTGGCGACGCCGGCACGGACAAGCGTTGCCCCGAGTCACCGCGGACTCGCGCCAGCTCCTGGAGCCCGGCGGCGGCACCCGCGGCGAGGAGCGGGTCGCTTCGGTGCCCTCCTGCAGCGCGCTCGAGGGACAATTCCATGGGCATGCTCTGCCAGAAGGGCGGCGCCAGCTTGTTTTTGTCTAGTGCCGCATTAACTCAGTGCTCGAAGACCTGGTCTCGCAAGTTCTTCAGCACCTCCTGGCATTGCGGGATCGTCTCCAGCGCCGTCCGCATCATGGCGCTGCCCGCGATCGCTCCGAGCGAGGTCACCTGGGAGCCGCCGACGGAGTGGAGCTCGAACCAACTGGCATCGCGGAAAGCGGAACTCGCACACCTCGCCAGCGCTGCGTACCAGCGCCGCTCCTGTCCTACAGTGGCCCACTCGAGCGGGAGAAGCTACGCCATGCAACCCACTACTGGCAATGCGCGCTCCTGGTCGAGCGGAACGCCGCATAGACATCCGATCTGGTGTTCTCGATGCCCCGCACGACTAGCGCAACCCTCGGCACCGTGCCCTGCCAATCGCGCCGCGGGAACGCAGCGGGCCCGAGCGCGAAGCCGAGGTACGCGGCCATGTCGCATACGTCGAAGGTTTCCCAAGCAGGGCTGGCCAGAACAAGCTCGCCCCGCACTGCCACGACGACCTCCTCCGTCAGCGGCCCGCTGAGTGCCGCTGCGTTGCCCTTCGCAGGTTTCGGGCGAAGGTTCGCCATCCTCGCGGCCAGACCGAACGCCCCCGCAGTCTGCTTGAGGGCGCGGGCATCACGACCGTGCCCGCGTCGTCCGCGCACGCCCAGGTGGTCCCCTCGCTGCTGGAATCGGCCGTGTCGTGGAAATCGTAATCGAAAGGGTTGCTGACGATGACGTGCAAGCTCTCGCTCATGGGGCATCCCTGCAGCGCGGCACTCACCGCGTCGCGCAGGCGCTCCAATTTGCCCGTTCCGCACCCATTGCGCGGGCTGCCCCGTCGCGCCGTTGCGCAAGCCTTGCGGAATGTCAAGAAAAGCCGGGCATCGGTGGAGCCAGGGCTGCGACACCGACGGGAACGCCTGCTTGAAGCCGAACGCGAGCAGCGCAGCGCCCTTGCGCGGAGGCGGCGTTCGCAACCCGGCTTGCAGCGCCCAGCTCGATCGCGCCCTGCAGAACCAACAAGTGCGCTTCGGAATGGAGCCGTTCTGGATGACGGAGCCGACGCGCGCGGTGATGGCGCGCAGCTGGAGGTCAATGACGCCCCCCACCGCTTTGTTGGCCGCCGTCCTGAGGCACGGGGGGCGCGCGCCCCCTGCCGAGCGCGCCACCCCCCCCTCTGCAGGGTCGTCTTCCGAGTCGCCCCTGGGGGGGGGGGCAGATGGTAAGTGAAGTGAAGAAGCCTGGCGCCTACACGGCGCGTCGGCACAGGGGGGGGCTGGCGCCCCGCGCAGCTCGCGCCTTCCTCGAGGCAGCGCTGCGTAGACGCAGGGAGCCCATTGCTGCTTGGGCCCCCCGCGCGAAACGCCCCGGCGCAGGCCTCCGGCTGGAAATCCACGGAAGCACTGCAATCAACATGGCGGCCACTGCCCGTGCTGCCACGCCAAATGTGGAAGCGAGACCAGGGGCTGACCTGCCGCCCTTGCCCAGCAGACTCTTCGTCGCAAATGTGCCTGGCAAAGCGAAATCGAAGTTCACCTTGCTCAAAAAAGCTCGCGCGGCATCTGTCGGCGCTGTCGGGTAGCCCAGCCAAGTGGCCAAAGACAGGCCCCCAATGCCTGCTGAGAGCCTCGGCCTACGCGCCGGGAGCCTTGACCGGAACGGCGCCTCCCTCCACGCGGGTGCCAGCGGTGGAACGTCGACGGCGATGTCCAAATCATGGCGCGCGCTTCGTGGTACCACCCCCAACGCCGCGAGCCGGGCCTGAGCCTCCTGCCGGCCGATGTCCACGAACAGGTTCTGGGAAGCTGGCGGGCCCGCGAACCTGGCGACACCTGCTGCGACCGAAATTCCTTCGGCCATCCAGGGCTCGGGCGCCAGCGCCGTCCATGGGGCGCGGCGCCCTGGCAATGGCATGCCCTCGCCGCGCTTCGCACCGCCAGCGCGCGCTACGATTGGTGCCAGGGCTGCCAGGCCAGACGTAAATCACGGGCGATCCGAGCAGCGGCGAGTCGGCAGCGCGTCGCCACCTCGGGCGCCTCTGGAGCCTCCAGGCAGTCGAAATCGATGGAGGTCTCCGGCTCGATCAGCGCCTCCCGGTAGTGCCTGTCACGCACGACGTCCTTGGCGAGGGGGCGCGCTCGGTGGCTGTCCGCGCGGGAGCGCGGGCCCAATGCGACCGGCAGCGGCAAGTGGCCGGAGAGGTCTTGCGTGGCCAAGTCCACGGGCCCCCCGACGCACTGGCCAGTCTGCCGCGACTCCTGCAGCTGCCGCGCCGGAGCTGCCGCGAAGCATCTGTCAATGCGCGCTGATGTCTTCGTCGACGCGCGCCAATGGCTAACTCCGGGAGCTGCGAGCTCGGTCATCGAGCGCCACAGCCGCCGCCAGCAAGCATCGCCAGCACGGTTTGCACAGACGTGCCGAAACCGGCCAAGCTCCCGAAGATCCTCGGCAGCCTCGTCGGTGTCATCAAAATCGAGAACCAAGATCATGCAGCATGCCACGGGGGCCGCTTCCACATGCCGCGCCTGGTTCCGAATTGCCGCGCAGGCGCGGCTAGTCTCGTGCACCGTCATGCCAAAATTGTGCACGTTCCACTGGTCTAGCTTGAAGCTTGCGCTGGCGTCCCGACTCGTGAGGCAGGCCACCTGGCCCTTGATGACGTTCATCGGCTTGATGTCCAACGTCTCTGCCGCAGGCTGCGGCGCGAACGCGGCGACCCCGTCCTCCTTGGGGGTCGCGCCCGGTTGTCGCAGACCTCGTAGTGGATGTTGTCGCGAGCAATCAACTCGTCGATCACAACGAGGGCGCCATGCGTCTCCGGCGAGACGAGAGAGCACGGAGGTGCTGCGCACGTCGTCTAAGCGTCGCTGGGTCGCTGTGCGCGAGCGCCAGGGTGTTTGCGGGAGAGCAACCGGAGCTCCGCGCCTCCCGGGAGGCTGCTACCCCGCCCACTCCAAAGGCCGCCTGCGGAATATCCGCGCTGCAACATTTTCGAGCTCCTCGATCGCGGTTGTTCTGCAGGTCAGCGATCGCTGCCGCGCATCATGCCACCTTCGTCTCCGCGTTGGCCGAGACCTGCACCTTGGCGAGGGCCTCGTAGCCGACCGCCGCGTGGCCCTCCTCCCTGTTGCCATAGTCGCGGCGGCCAAGGTGGCCCCCGGGCGCCCTCGCGAGCCTCTTATGGGGCATATTCCGGGCCAGCGCCCCCCGGATCTCGTCGCCGCTGACGAGCGGCCAGGCCTCTTTGCCCAGCGGCGGGCCAACAGAGGAACCCCTTCCAGGTTCCATGCCCACTCGGGAGCCCGCTGAATGCCCGCCGAGCCCGCGACGCTGCAGTTTCGCCCGCGCCCGCGAAGCGCAGGGTGCAACGGCGCCCCGCCTCGCCCCCCTCGAGCTTCACCTGGGAATCGAGAGCGCACGCCACGCCGTGGATCCACTGCTCGAGCGCCTTCTGGACCATGGCCTTCGGCGCGTCCTCCGCCGCGTTCACCGCGAGGGCGCGGTCGTCCGTCTTCCGTGCCCATGCCGACGAGGTGGCGACGGGGGGCTTCGGGCTGGCGCGGGCGAGGCCCGACTCGCGCTCGAAGTGAGATAGCCGCAAGTTTAAATGATCAGTGAGTTCCTTCCCTGCCATGGCGCCCTGGCCACGCCCCTCTCGCCCGCGTGCCCGAGCCTCCGCTCGATCGCCTCGGGGCGCGGACGCTGGCTTCCGTGCGCGAGAGCGCTGGGCTCGTCGCGGTCTGCGCTGGTTCCAGCGCAGCTGCCGCCGATGCTTCCGGGAGAGCCTTCGCCAGCGCAGCCTGCAAGGCTGCTCCGACCGCCTCCCGCGAAACCTTCCCGATCTCCGCCGCCCACTCCCACCGC